TGGGGGAGCAGTGGAGGTAGGGTGGGGGGATTCACATTTATTCCAAGGCACTCAGCACTGGACCCCTTCCAAGAGAGGAAACGAGACTAAATAGATCATTTGTTTTATTCTGTTTGGGCATTTCTTGTGTCTCTCCCAACTGCAGCTTACGGACACAAAGCCAAACTCAGAGCCTGGCTAGAGCTGGCTAAATGCCAGGTCTCTTTCTTTTTCTTTTTTCCTTTTTTAAGGAATAAACCATTTGAAACTGTGACTGCAGATTAAGGCAAGCTGCACAACTGAAGGATGAAATGAAATCCTGCTGTGAATGGGAGTTGGAAAGGACCAGGTAGGAGTGTTAAGTGATTTGGATTGCTCCAATAAAACGGAGACAGAGACAGGAGAGACCTTCACATGGAAGCAGACATTTATGAGAAATACACTTGCAAAGAGGGTCAGATGCTGGGGGAGAAACTTGCTGCTTGTGGGCTCCGGCTGTGACAGGAGCACACCTCTGGACCAGGGCAACTATGATGGGATGGCATGGAAGGTGTACCCTGGGTTTTTGTTGCTGTCTTCTCTTGTGGGCATGAGGAAGACCAGCCAACACCAGCCATGAACATTCAGTAACAAACATAGTTGGTATTCCCAGCAGATCCCAGTGGCAGAATGGGGCTTTGTTTTGAATCCTTTCCTTTGGGAGTTCATCGTTGGTCCCACCTAATGGTCAAAGAGACAGAAAGGAACATTCGCGACTGGGCTTATGTTAGTGTATTAGTTAACACCACAGCCTGTCTGATTTCAGAACTGACTGGTCAAGCACAATATTGCTCAAAATGTTCCTCTAACACTACTGGGGAGCACAGGGAAGTGACCATCAGTCATTAACATGTAAACAAAAGAGGTAATCTTAAAAACTTCTGAATGTGTTTTATAAAAGAGTCCAGTTAAAGTATTTATAGTTTAATTGAGAAAATGGGTTTTTCCCCTGGAGAGATATTAGCTGCATTACGAGAGTTTTCAAGTCATTTTTGTGCAGTTTTAAACTTCAGAATAACTTTCCTAAAAAATTTAGAATTGCAAATAATGAATGGAGGTGTTTGCAATATGAACCATGATATCAATGATATGTCCTGAGTGTGCTATTCTCCATTAGCTTTGTAAAGCATCACCCTCAAGAAACACTGGGCAAGGCATAAAGGGATCTCTGTGGGCCATTTCTTATAACTTACAACTACAGGCACACCGAAAACCACCTTAATTAGAATTTTTTTTTTTTTTTAACTTTGGTCATTAGTATTCTGGCTTTTTTTCAGTGTGTTTGCTATTTTTTTTTTATTTAATAACTACATGGTTAGAAGAAGCATTTCATTACAGCTTTAACATATTCAATAACAATTTCCAGAGCAAAGATGCATCTCTTTCAAAAGTGGCTGTAAATTTTTAGGTTCACAGTTGAATTAGTACAGTTATACAATATTGAACTCAGTATAAATCCTATAAGACGTAAGATTGAATGAGGTCTTAACCTTTAAAAAAGATCTTCATTTTAAAATATACTGTTTCCTACAGAAAATCTCATTTTTAATGCTACTAACACTTAGATGTTTGCACATGCGTCTCTCATCTCTATGTATCTGATTATTACTAGTCACAGTCGGGATCCTTGGCACCTAGGTATGGATATAAAGTCATCAGGTAGATTTCAATGGTAATGTTTTTCACCTCTACTAATTAACATGAAGCAAATTTTTATGCTTCTACCTCAAATATAACTAATTTTTTAATTTGCTGATTTTTTGTTGATGTATATATTATATAGAACATCCCAAACAATGTGAAAATATCCACTTCCCAAATGGCACCCTCCCATAGCCTCCCCCACACTGGAGCCCATATACTCTGTCATCCTTGTTACTGTCCACTGTGTTGTAGACGCCCTGAGCCATTCCCCAGTGCTTGTCCATCCACTGAGCCTAGTCAGCCTATCTAGAGTTCCTTGTTTTAGGAAGATCAGCTCTTCCTCATCTAGCAGAAACCAGTTGTCAATATTCCTTTAGATAAGATTTGGGTCTGCTGTTCATTTTCCAAGTTCTATGCTGGGTTACTGTCTGGGAGTCTTTTGGGCCACCCTGTGAGTTCCAGGACAGCTGGGGCTACAGGGAGACCCTGTCTCAAAAAAACCCAAAAAACAAAACAAAACAAAAAATCGCTGGGCATGGTGGTGCACACCTTTAATCCCAGCACTTGGGAGGCAGAGGCAGGCAGATCTCTGTGAGTTCAAGGCCAGCCTGGTCTACATAGTGAGTTCCAGGACAGCTGGAGGTACAGGGAGACCCTGTTTCAAAAAGACCAAACAACAACAACAAAACTCAAAGGAAGGTATCTCCTGTCTGGCACTGTTGCTTGTTATGTAGCCTTTAGCTATGCATATGGACTCTTAAAAAATTATATTGACCCCTTTAATCTTTGGTTATACTTTCCTTTTGGGTGTTTAAGACCATACAGTTGGCCCAGATAAACTAATTTATTTTTACTCTTAAGGTCATTTGAAGATCTGTTCCTAAGGGGTCACATGGGCTGGGGGAGAGACCCTGGCTCCTTTCTTTTACCAGTTCTGCCTATGTGAAGATAAGTCAAAGGTCCTACTCGACCATGGCTGGCTTCACTTGGAAGCATTGAGGAAATGTTTCCTCTGTGTTGACCCTCCTCTTTGTAGACTGGTTCAAGTCCATCTGGTGGGGTCTCCATGGCCTCCTTGATCAAGAGGACAGGTGACGCACCACAGTTGCACAACATTTTGAGAGATGCTCATAGTCCCCTGGAACTTAGTCGACCTGAGAGGGCATGGAGCAAAAACTGTCCTTTATGTCCCTCTGACCAAATTAGTATAGGCCTCAAAGTATGGTTGTTAAATATCCACGAAAGTTAGTTCCACCAGTCTGGTACTTTTAATTACCATGTGCCATGTAGATAAAGCTTGGGCAAAGACCAAACGTTTCTCAGATAAACTGTGCCTAGATATATATTATATTCCTTGAGCTAGTTGTAGACATAATTTGTCAGTAGGTTGTTTGATTAATATGGTTCCCTCTTTTTTTTTTTAAACTAGCTAGGCATTATCTCTCACATTGTCTAACCCTTCCACTATGGTTTCCCCATTTAAAGTACCCCCATTTTTACCATTTCTCCCTCAATTAGAAATTTTAATTTGAAGAGGGTGAGTTAGCCATGGATGGAGAGACTTCCTGCAAGCTCTCCTTATCTGCCTTCTCTCTAGTAGTTTCCTAAATGGCCCCATACCTAGCCCAGTAGCTGTGAGGCAAGCATTCTACCTCTAAGCTACATAGCCAGCCCTGATTGCCTCTCATCTGGAAGAAGATACGCCCAGGTTCTCAACTCACTGCTAGGCTTTCTTCCCCCACCACAACCCATCTTAACTTTCCCCAGTAATAGTCCACTCCAAACCCTGTCATTACCATGTATGAAAAATCCCATTCGCATTTATTTACTCCATCCACACATTCATTGAGCAATTGATGTGTGTAACATGGCTCTGGGCATGAGGAACACCCTGAGTTGGGAACCAGGTCTCTCCCCTGCTTTCTGGGGGCATATCTTTATGAAGGAAAGTAGAAGAAAACCAAGAAACCAATTGGAAAGAAAATCATATTATGTTGAGGTCTATGAAGAAACTGCCAGAGAAGGAAGTGACTTTATCTCAGTAGTCAAAGAAGACTTCCCAAAGGAGATAATATAGGACATGTGACACAAGAATGGGAAGGCAGTCCCCTGAAGCACCTGAGACTGGGGAAACCAGGAAAGGGATCCGGAAGCTGTCCTGCAGCTTCATAGGAATATTGGGTAGGACTGTGGAGCCATGTAACAGGTTTCCTTTGCCAGGACCATCTTCCCTTACTGGGGGCTAAACCTCCCAAGGCATGTATCCCTACAAGAGGAACTGTGAATACCTTCAGGGTGACTCTCATTGTACATTTTCCAAAGCAACCTTTCCTTCAATATAACACACACACACACACACCACACACACACACACCACACACACCACACACACACACACACACACACACACACACACACACACACAGGCACAGTCACCTATGGGCCAATGGCTGATTGCAGGCTAATCTCCCAAATTGCTCCAACCGTGATGCAGCCTATTTTGCCGTGTTTAGGGAGAATTACCTCAGTTCTTCCCCACGTGGCTGAACTTGGGGCCTGCTAGGGACGATGTTATACCAAAGGCAATAGAAATTGCCCTGACACTTGGGTCCCTACAAACCTAACGAGCAAAGGAAGACTGAAGAAGAGGGACACAGATGACAGACCATGGAGCAGGACAGCCATCTGTTGCTGGCTCGGGTCTGTACTTCTTTTCTGCTCATAAGGTCCCACGAGCTGAAAGTATCCTTTCAGAACTGGATTCCCAAAGTTCTGCGGGTACCTTATGCTGCCGCTGCAGCCGGGAGTCCAGTTTCCTGGATGCCCCTGTCTGCCATCAGCCTAAGCGGCCCCACCACCGCTTCCCCGTCCCCTATGCAGGACAAGTGGCTCCTGACACCCTGCAGGGCGCCTGAAGAGACGACCTTCTTCTAGGCGGCCGTTATCCCCATCACCTGCGGGATTGGACACTGTTGGGGGGGCGCCCCAGTCTCTCCGGGAGGTGGGGAAGGGACAGCCAAAACGACAAGTCCTGCGTCCCAGGGGCGCGCCACGGGCCCGGCGTTGCCCACTCCACGCCACTCCCCCCACGCCCATCAGGGTGACCCACGTGCAGCTCAACCTGGGGCTGGCGCCGCACCTCGGGCTCGGCGCGTCTGGCCGGCGCTCTGGGGCCCTGACCCCCCCTGGAGGCGGCAACCAGGCGGCCGCAGGTCGGCGGTGGTGGGGGGCGTCCCCGAGTCCCCTGCGGCGCTGGGACGCGGCTGCCACACAAAGGCGGCGGCGGGAAGGCGGGGCGGGGCGGGCCGGGGGCGGTGGCAGGAAGGGGCGGGGGCGGCGTCGGCGATAAAGCCCCCTCGCCGCCCAGACGCTCAGCTGTGGCTGCTCGGAGCGCGGGCTGCTCGCGTCCCCACCGCCTCTGCCGGCGCCGCGCCGCGCTCCCTCCGCTCCGGCCGCGCCGCCACCTGGACACCCGAGCGAGGACCGGTGAGTGTCGGGCCCGGCCGCTGGGAGGGGACCCGGGGACCGCGCCCGGACTGCGGGGCGCAGGGAACTTTCTAACCCCCTTCCGTCCTCTGGGGCCACCGCGGGGCTCGCGCGTCCCTGTCGCCGAGGAAGGACCCGGGGACCGGCCGGGGCGTCCAGGTGTACCCGAGGCCGGGCAAGGCTCCCCGAGCTCGGCGGGATTTCGATCGGTCCAGCCTGACCGCAGCCGGTGACCCTGGAGACCGGAGGCGTCGGGCTGCTCAGCGGCATCCCTACCCTGCACTTTGCCTGCGCGCCTCCGGGCAGGGACAGACAGACCGACGCTCACTTTGTTACCTCTGCGGGAGCAGCGAGGAGAGGAGCAGCGATTTGAGGGAGGGCTTCACGGTGGTCTTTGCAGCCGGGTTCGCCCCACTATGCAGCAGGTCTTTGCTATTTATTATTTATTCTCTTCATCTGTAGATGAGGGAATTGCGAGGCCTCTGAGTGACTCCGGGTAAGGTGGAAGTACTCAGGAATTCTGGGCAGAATTAGGTATTTAACTTGCCCCCAAGCTTAGCGGAGAGAAAAGGCTGCTATTACATAAGCCAACATTCCGTCTTCAGGTGTTAGGGAAGGTGCTGTGGAAGATTTTTAGTGTTTTAATGAACAAAACATAATTTCCGTGTGACTCTCTTGAGAAATCTCCAAACGCGGCTGGATGTTGGTTTTAGACTACTTTGCAAAGAGCGTTCTCATATTTGGCATGAACATAAAAAGGTGTTTGAAGGTTTGCCTTTCCTCTTTAAATCCAGGAAGCAGTTTACTTCTCTGAACTGTTCTGGAATGATTGATCTGATAATTTTGTACTTTGGAGATTTTAGATCAGCATCTGAACACTGGGAGAAATGCTGGCCTTGCCAGTTTGTGTATCTAAAGCACAGTTAAAAAAATTGAATGTGCTTTCAACACTATCTGGGGCTCTACAACAGTAATTATACACTGCTTGCAACATTTAAGCCGAAAATTCTCAAGAGCTGTGTAGCTGAACATGCTAGTTTAGACCTCGAGTTTTGAATGTTTTTAAAATAGTGTTTGAAAATATTGTACATTGCTTGGGGACTCCTGAAGGTCATAAAAATGCCCTCTATTTTTTTTTTAATGAATCGATACAAAAAATTTTGACCTCCCTTGAACTTAACATACAAGCACAATTTTGAAAAGACAGAAATTACTGAATCTCCACAGTGGTCACCTTCAGTTCCACACGTGGGTGACTCAACACTAGTCAGCGATGGTTTAAGGTGAACGAGTTGCAAGTGAGATGGTGACCTGGCCAGGTCCCCAGCCACACCTCCCTGTGCTGACCTATTCTGTTGGGGACTTGGGCCTCTTCCTCCTCCTCCAGTTCCAAAGCCCATGTGGGTGACCGTACCATGACCGTCTCAGATCCAGTGGCTTTTACCCACTTCAGCTTCGTCCTCTAGACTTTTCCAAGTCTTCTAATGTCCAGCATCAACAGGCATGATAGTACAGTGCTCATAAGACCAGCATGTGGGAGGCTGAGGCAGGAGGATTGCTGTGAGTTCAACCAGCTCTACATAGTGAGTTAGCCAGGCCTACATGGCAAGACCCTGTTTCCAAAAACAAAACAGAAAAAGGAACTTCAGTATCTTTAGTCTTTAAATCCCAGGCTCCTCCCCAAGCTGTACTCCAGTCCTTCTTTTGAACTCTACAACACAAGGTTCTCCAGGGCTTTCTGTCCTTCATGTTCCACAGGTGACCTAATGGTCTACTGTCCTGAGAAAATAGGGAACACTAGACTTGCTCCATGTGCTACCTCTCCTCTACACTACAGACAGTTCCATATTTACCCACTCATCTGCTCAGTCTTCCCAGGCCTCTTCTGTGTCTATAAGTATTTCGCTAGGCTTTTTACCTTTGCTAAATATAGCAGATCCTTGCTTTCCTGGGATTATCATTCTTATGTGAGAAAACAGACAGAAAGGAATATCTATGATAAGTCCAGTGATACATAATTAGTGAGGTAGAGTGACAGGAGAAATTCAGTTGAACTAGAAATTTGCAGATAATGAAGAGAAGTTGTGTCAGTGGCAGATGTCCCCAACTGTGTCCTGAATCCCAGGCCTCCCTCTGCTCAGGTATCTTGCTCCCCACTCCGTGTTCCCGTGTTCCTGTATCCTCACCTCACCCTCATGATCACCACATCTCTCCAGGCTTCTTAAACAAGTTGTCCTTTCCCCAGTCTCCCTTCTTAGGTCCTGCAAGCTAACTGGAGTCTCCCTGGAGCAGAAGACACCCCCCCCCCAATCTCCCACACAAGCCATTTCATGGGTGCTCAGCTGGCCTCTGTGGCAGGTACTTTCATGTGTGTCTGCAGTTTTCCTCCTTTCTGGTTTTCCTTCTGTGACCTGGCATCTCTTCCACCCTCCAGGGTTACATAGCTCTCTGCCTCCCACCCCCACCCCTGGCCCCTCTGCTGTCTTCAGAGTCTTTGGCTGAACCATTTCCCACAGTTTTACCTAGCACCAGTGTGAGGTGAGCCCCAGATTGGTATCTGAGCTAAGAGCATTCTCCTGTGTTTCAGACAGTTACATATGCTCTAGAGGTCTGAAACTGACTTTAGTTGGGGGTTTTTAGTGTGTGTGTGTGTGTATGTGTGTGTGTGGGGGGGGGTGCACCTGTATGTTGTGTGAGTACATATGCATGTGGAGGCCAATGGACAATCCCAGGTGGCATTCCTCAGGCACTGTCCATCTTTTAGTGACATAATGTGTCTCACTGACCTGGAGCTCTACAGGTAGACTAGGCTGACTGACCGACCAGTGAGCCCAACAGTTCCTCCTGTCTCCAACCTCCCCAGTCCTAGGATTAAAAAAGCATGCACAGCCGTCCTCGTTTTGTCACTATTTTTTACATGGATCCTGGGGTTGAACTCAGCTCCTTATCTTGTTTGACAGGTGCTTTATCATCTGAGCCATCTCTCCAGCCCCTGGTCTTAGGTTTTCTGCCTACTTCATGTATACTTCATTAACCCAAATTTATCTTTTCCCCAACCCCAATGGCTACATCATTCCCCAAGGTGTATAAACAAGAGCCTCCAGTAATGCTGGTCTTCTACATCGTCTGTTCTGACAAGTCACCAAGCCCTATTAATTCTGTGCTGTGAGATACCATAAGTTCCGCTGTGTTTGCTTGCCCCACCTTGCTTTAGTATATGGAAGTGACAGGATGGTAGCCAGTGTACCACTTAAAACTGGCCAACATATGTTGACCTGACAAAATATACAGAAAATAAGTTTATATTTAGAAGTTTGGAGATACCTTGGATCTATAGCATCTCTTAAAAGCTGGAAAATGTGGACTATGAAGCTTACATTCCCATGTGGTAACCCTCAGCAGGTGCTAAGCTCCTCATGACTGTCTTGCGCAGGATGTTGGCTGCGTTCTGGTTCCTGTGGACCTGTGGCCTTCACTGACAGCTTTCTAGTACCCAGGATTTCAGGGCCGGCGACTCTAGCTGTGCAACTGTCTGCAACCTGGGAGTCCCCGGGGCTTAACAGCAGGTCTCCTGTACCCGGCTTTGTATCCTTTCTGTCTTCTATTTCTCTCTTCCTGGTTATTGGTATTGCTAGTTTGTTTACTCTGTCTCCCCAAATCCCCATGTGCCTGTATCCCTCCTGGCATAATTCAGTGTCTCCCTATTGATTTGGAGTTAAACACTGCTCTGGATTGGCAATGTTCAATAGGTTCTTCTGGTTGCAAGCTGAGCTCTCTGTGGTCTTTATGCAGGGTTGTCTTTGGGTTTCCCAGAATGCTTTCACTGTGGCTCCTACAGAATTCTAGTATTACCATCCCTGTGCCTAGGTCCACACACCCCATCACCCTCCCACTTCCTTGAAGCTCCTTCCACTACCAGGGGTGGCGGGGGTGGGGGTGGGGCGAAGAAAAGATAGGGTAGGGTCAACTGACATCCCAGCCAACAGTGAAGAGACTGTAAATATAGAGGCTCGCAGGCTGCCCCAGAAACTCACATCCCTGGGAACATAGTAGTCCCATAGTCATGCAGTTAGTTCCAAGGTCATGCAGACCTTTGGACTGTCCCAGACAGAGCTCTGTCTCAGAACACTTTCCATGGTGCTCAGGGAACTTGCCGGAATAGTCCAGAAACTTCCTAGGCTGGTGGTCATTTCTAATAACTAGACTGTGCGTCTGCTGTTTTCCACTCTCCCTGCCTCCCTGCCTTGTCCTTTTCTGGAACTTTGTTTCTTCCACCTGGGCTTCACATAGATCCACATAACCTGGAGACTGCACTGCATCTGCCTGTCTTTGTTCTTGCTGTCCTCTGCCTAGGATGCCTGTCTTCCATGTCCACTATCTGGCTGATTTCCCCTTTTGCCAAACTCAGGTCTTGTTATCTCCTGTTCCAAAAACCATTCCTGGCAATCACTGCTTCTAGCCCTTGGTGGCATGCATACAGTACACACACACACACACACACACACACACACACATACAACCTACTTCCTCTGATAGTGACTAGACTCAAAGCTCTGTGAACATGCCTGTGTTGATTTTACTTGGACCAGCAATGGTGTGCAACCTAATGGCATTGAATAGATATGTGACCTACACCGTCCTCATTTTTCATTGATCGGCGCCATGCATTGTATGGAGCAAGGGTTGTATTTTCAAATTTAAAGGGGCATTCTTCCCCTAAACCTCTGGTTGTGGTACTTCTGCATGTAATATGTTTTCACATGTGTGTGTGTGTATGTGTGTGTGTGTGTGTACGCGTGCACCTGCATGTGTGTGTGGCGGCCTGACGACAACCTCAGGTCTTAGGTGGGGTCCACCTTGTTTTTTGAGGCAGAGTCTCTCATTGGTCCGGAGCTTACCATCTAGGCTAGGCTGACTGGCCAGTGAGCCCCAGGGATCTTCTTGTCTCCACCTCCCTAGGAGGGATTGTAAATGCATGCTGCCATGCCTGGATTTTTAAA